CCCCATTTCCTCCCCCACCTCTTTGTGAAAAAATAAGAAAGTAAAGAAAGATGGTGAGAAGCAGGAAGGGGAACAGGGGAGGCGGGGAGTGGCGGGGCAGAGGGAGAGCAGGGCAGAGGGGGGGGGGGGGGTAGTGGGCAGAGGGATAAGGCGTAGAGGGGGGTGGCGGGGGAGGGGAGGAGAAGGGGAAATGGAGGAGAGGGGTGGCGGGAGGTGGCATTGGTGGAGTTGCTGCTGGGGTGGCGGAGGTAACGGGGAAGGGGGAGGGGGAAGAAGAAGAAGAAGAAAAGAAAAAGGAAAGAAAGAAAAAGAAAGAGAAAGAGAAAAAGAACGAAAAAGAAAGAAAAGGAAAAAAAGTTTTTCACCTTACAAAAACTTCTACAAAATTTTTTCAAAAAACTTTTACAGTGCACTAAAGTAAAATTTTAGACAAACTCCCAAAAAACTCAGGTTTCAAATAGATCCTTAGTATTCATAAGTTTTTTGCACCTCTTGAAATAAAAAAATGATATCAGCTACCCAAATAAATTAAAGACATAAACTATACTTGGAAATCAAGTAGACATGGATTGAGTTATATTCCTCCGAAGTTTAGTCTCCTTTTATTAATCGAATAATTCATATTTTTATAAAATAAAATAAAATTTTAGTTAATTAAATGAGTATTTTTTGATTTGTAATTGCACTTGATGTAACGACCCCACCTCCCCCTAAGGTGTACCAGAGGGTTCGGCGGACCGCCTGCCCAGCTCTCGCCGGGACTCAGTCGTTCGCTACAGTTTTCAATTAAAAATTGAAATAAATCACTAGAATAAATAGGGCATTGATCCAAACTTAAAGCGGAACTTATATACATTGCCAACCCAAAAGAGAATATAAACATCAAATATACAAGGGTTCTCAATCCTTCATACGTCCAGCCCGTGCCAAGCACTAGGCGAGAATCGCTACAAAAGAAACAAAAGAAACAAAACTAGATTGGCTAGTCTATCTCAAGCTCACGTCCTCGCTCGCCTTCCCCTGTAAGGAAAACAAAACTAAAGGAATGAGCTAAAAGCCCAGTGAGGTTCCGAACACATAATCAGATAATCAATCCAATACATTAAACATGGAGTATCAATAATTCAAGAAACATTTACAATGGAAAGCGATAGTAACACATTCATTAAAAGGATACGGCTCACAAGGAGCAATTCGTTATTTCGTTCATTCGTTCTCCTGACATTTCCCCTTATTCCTCCAATCATTAGAAAATGCATTTTTCGTTTATCAATAAACCCTCGTTCGTTCGTTCGTTCGTTCATTCGTTCATTCATTCATTCACCCCCGTCCTGGCCGTTGGCCAGTCTCCACCAACCTACACGGTAATACTCGAGTATACCAAACGTTCACCCAAGTCCCTAATCGCCCGACCGAGTCCGCTTCTGGCTCGAGACGACCGGTAACAAGGGGCAATGGCCAGTTCAGCCCAAAAGGCTTACATTCATGCGCAAGTAACATTTCAATCATTAAATCCTTGAAAATTGCACAGTTATTTAGGTCGAGTGCGATAAAGTACACACTCGCCTAGAAAGCTCGTTTTGGAAATCATTAAAAGCAATTAACACATTAGCAAATGATAACAACAAGCCATAAAGTCAAATAAGGAACACTCACCTAGATATGCAAAATAACATGCAAAATCCTTCCGGATATTACCCTTAGTCACCAATGAAACCTAAGGTTGAACAAGAGAACATATTACAGTTTATCGAGCAAAACATTTAAGGGAAACGAAGATACCCGACTAATTAAGAGTAAAACGTGTAAAGATGACTTTCAAGTAAGAAGAGGGTTGTTTGAACCCAAGGATGAAAAATCATGTTTTAAAATGGAAAACCGGTCATGGTATTGGCCTAACAAAAGTATACAAGTTCAAATAGAAACCTAGACCTCGGCGAAAATTTGGGCAGCACGCCCTTTGTGTTTACCTAATTTTCCAGTCATTTTGGCTTCATTATTTTTCCTCAACCACAACCCAACATCACACATAAGCAATTCAAGTCAAGAGCCGTTCCATAGGCTCACAATATCATAAGAATAAGAAATACAGTAATAACAAGTGCAGAAATTCAATTTAGCAAAAGACAGATTTGACGTATGAAAGCGGAAATAACGTATCCGAGGCTACGCTTATCGGATTAATACGTAACCTATGCCGTTTCGAAGCTAAGACTCAGGGTTACAATGTTCATGAAGGTCAATTAGTCCAGTTTCTAATGTAACTTGGTAAAATTCTCGAATTACTAAACCAGAAACCAATTCGTCGGCTGTTTAAACGCAGAACACTGTAATGGACATAACTCAGAGTACACAAGTCCGAATCAGGTGTTCTTAGAGGCATTTGAAAGAAAATTCAGAATAATACAACTTTCATGTTTTGGCAAAAAGCTAAATCAGAATGGATCCTAGTCGAAAAACGTGATAAACTGGACTTAACTGATCACACGGACTGCTTGGGAAATACTTAAAATAGTAAGGGTATTTCGGACTTTTCATGACCTACGTTGCTCCGATTGAGCTGAAATTTTACAGGTACCTACAAAATACCATTCTCTACAACTTTCCTTCTTTGACCCAAGGCCAATTCGGCCTCTAACATGCAGTTACCAAACCGGACAGAATGGAAGCTAGAATTTCCAGAAATCTGAAATTTGTAGTTTCTAGTGCAACTTTCCCCAATTTCTCACTTCTCACACTACCAAAACATCTTATACAACATTAATTGTAACATACAAGCAGCATACAACAAGTTGGGCAGAATTTCCCAAACCCTAGTTCATCATATAAAGAGGGGAAAAACTTCCAAACATGCTAGCACCCATGATTCCACTACTACTCAAGTTACTAGACTTAATTTAACCAAGATTGAAAGAAAAATTTAGAGAGATATCATCTTCCTTACCTTAATATGAGTTCTCCAAGTGTAGCCCAAGCCTTCTCTTTCCAAAATTTCACCACCAAACACTAGCTAATCACTCAAGGAGAAGTTTAATCGGTTTAGTTCTTTTGATTTCTCACTTTGTAGCTTGAATCAAGAAGAAATGAAGAAAGTTCACTCTTGTTCTTCTCCTCTCTCTCTCTCACCTCCCTTGGCAGAAATATGAAGAGGTATGAAGCTAAGTTGTCTTATATTAAAGCCAAAAGGATTAGAACTAATGGTGTCCACAAATTGCCCAACACTTGGCCTAATCTTGGCCACTAATTTTTCTCTTTCTTTCCCTTGCTTATGAGCCACAAATTTCGGTCAAGCTTGCTGCCAAGAGAGAAGATATTTTGCTCAAGTTCAATAAATTTGTTTGGTAAGCAAAAATGGTGGTCAAGTGGTGCGTTCAAACGGTAGTGCGCGGGACCCGCCGGTTCGCGCCGTTTTTCTTAAAAACTCACGTACTAGGGTTTTTACTTCCCATTCACTAACCTTATATCATTGCTACCAATCACATATTATTTCTCATTTAAAAGTCACTTTTAATCCTCAAATTTAATCCTTACTCTGTACCGAAAATTCATCCGGCGAAAAATCGCGAAAACCCTAATTTTGCTCCAAACTTGAAACCGAAGCGTAAAACCCTATTTTCTAGGTTTATCTACACTTAATGTGAAATATTTGGGTAGTGGCCTTTGGTAAATACTAATTTTCAAATAAAAGAGTATTTTTGAGGAAAATACAAGGAATTTGCGAGTCCTCACACTTGACAAATTAGTAAAGTAACTAATTAATTAATATCTCTTTAAATTAATAGAATTTGTATGGTCCTAAGATTATTAACTTATGGAGGTTTCACGTATTGTTTGATTACTTATTAATTAGTTTATCAATTCAATTATATTAATGAATTACTTTGCTATCCTTTTTCTAATTCATTTAATGAATTAGTTTACATTTTTTACTACTATTTTTTTATTGAATATAATTTCAATAACATTTAAACAATAATTGTATTTCTTATACACAACTCCAATTTAAATTAGATACTAGTTTTAATTACATAACTTCTATTTAAATTCGATAACACTTTTACTTTAAAATGTGCGTGTAAACCTATTAATATTTTAAAAAAATGGGCAGTTGCAATGATTGAAAAAAAAAAGCATAGATTGGTTATCGTGCATAAGTCGGGAACTTTGCAAGACGTGATGAGTCCATAAAAAGAAAACCCTTTCCACTTTCTTTATTTTTCCAACTTTTTTAGGGCAATATTCAGAGATATTAGCGTGTAAATTGCAATTGTTAATTCCTGAGGGCTAATTCAATCTACTTAACATTCCAGCAAAATCAAAAAGCAATAAAGAAAAGAAAAGAAAAGAAAATGAAAATAGTTCCCGCGCAAGAAAAGGGGGAAAAACAAGTTATTGGCGCGAATAGACAAACATCAACTTATAGTAATAATTCGAGATCCAAGCGGATCATCTGAAGAAAGAAATCAATGGAGAAATACTTAGTACCTGCAGCTCCGCCTTCTCAAACTGCTAAGAAATCCATCACCAAAAGGTACTAGCATTTTTCCTTTGTATTTCTGAAGAAATAAATTACTTCCTTCAGTTGTAGTCAAAATTCGTGAATTTGTAGACCTAGATGGAAGAGAAGTCTGGTGGAGTTGATGGGAAAATTTGATTCAAAGTATCGTCACAATATTTTTAGCTTAGCCATGCAATCCTATTCTCAGGTGACAGCGAATTATTGTAATTATCATTATTTTTTAAAACTAATTAGGTTTCTAGAGTTTTCACTGACTTTTTCTTTTTTATTATTATTTGAAATTTGTGCAAAGATTGGAGCGTTTCCTCATGAGTATCATATTGATGGTTCGCCATGCCAAACTCATGTACGGTAATTTTGAATAATTTTTTTTTGGTTAGTTTGCTTTCTGAAACAATTTTGTTTAGTTTTTTTTTTAAAATACTTGGGAAATGACAGTTTTTTTTCTTAAATAAAGGTGGAGTGGTTTGCTGGTGTTCCAATAATCCGAGATCGGTGACGATGTTCGTTATCTCTTTACTTTGCAACTGTGTGAATTGAATTACTTTTTTTTTTAATTTCTAGATTTGGTGTTTCATTATCTTTGTGCTAAGTATTGAATGTTTGGGGATGATGAATCTACCCAAAAAGAAAAAGCATTAACTAAGATTTGTTTGTTTTTGTTTGTTGTTATATTACTCGAAGACAATTGCTCAAGGGACAATCATAGTTCTTTGTTTTTCTTTGTAATTTAAGAAACAAAAGTGCATTTGGCATTAGGAATTGCAATTTGTATTGGCTTAAAGTTTTTATGTGGAATGTCTATTGATGTTTCCTTAATCTGTGGTTAGGCAGGGTGTATCAGCAGTGGAATTTGATAGCAAGGTGAATTTCACTTCATTTTCTTGTCTGAAACCAACTTTTTTTTTAGTTTAACTGATTCATTATCATGTGAAATTGATTGCCATTTTTCTTGTTCAATCACAAGTTTACTGGAATGGACTCCCTCCTTGATAGGAAGAGTTTAAAAGGAAATTAGGCTTCTGGTTTTGTGCTCTTTACAATTGTAAGAAGCAGGAGAACTAGTTCACATATCATATCAGTTTTTAGTGATGAATGGTCTGGCCTTGTAAATATGCAAATAAAAGGACAGGAACATAGATGTCAGATTCATTTTCCATGTTTAACTGTTCAGTTCTACTGAAGTGTGTTTGCGCATATAAATTTGATTAGGTGAAAGTGACTTCGACTCATACTAATTAGTAGTATGAAGATGTATCATTGCGTTGGGCATTGTCTTATATGTTCTCTTGGAGCACGCAGATCATTCCTACATGCATGGAACATGATGAATTTAAGCTGTACATGTATACATTCTGTAATAGGGAAGATATTTTGTGAATAGTGCTTTTTTTCTAACTAGTGATTGACGTACACTCCATGAGAGTGTGACCAATAATAAATTCTGAACTGTACCAATCCATCCAGAATCCTGAGCTGAAAAGCCAAAGTGATGGCATTAAAATGTATCAACAATAGTAAAATTTGGATGAATAAAAAACTTAACAAAACAAAATCCCAGAGAAATGAAACAAAACATTGAATGACACGATCAACCAGATTAACAGGTAAATAAATCTTTTAAGAAAATGATGAAGAACAACGTACTCTAAGTGCTCATGATGGGACTTCACAATCAGCTGTGGGATAATTACATAAAGCATGAAAATCTATGGCAAAAGTCAGAAGTAGGTTCATATGGAAAAAGATTCTGATGGAGGACATGGAAAAGTAGTTTGTATTTGGTGTGATGTTAGTGGTTGAGTTTAAGTAATAGAAGTGGTGTGTTTCAGTAGTGTGATATTAGAAGTTGATTTCAAGTGATACACATGGTTATTCGTGAGGAGTTAACTAGAAGGGTAAAAAAGGGATTATAAGAACTGACACAGAATGTTTACACCAAACCACTCCTCCCACTTTGTGTGTGCATATATGGTAGAGATTATCAAGAAAGATGTCATATCATCTGCACAAGAATGGGAAGAAGATTAGAGTGTTACATGTCACTAAGATTTTTAAATATGGAGTGAGTGTCCTACATGTGTCATTCAGTCAGTATCCAGTACAAAACTGTAGAAACATATGCCATCTGTTACAACTGAAAGAGAACAGGTGAGTGGTGTGAACACATTCATTGTTTAAGGAATTTTACAATCTTTGTTTCATTATTTGGGTGGTATGGCCATCAGCAGATGTAGCAGATTTTAGTTTCCATCCTTAAAATGTGATATTAGGTGTAAGATTCTCCTCTACCTCTCTCGCAAAGGCACAAAGCTGAATATGCATGTATTAGGATCAGGAAGAGGACATTTTTGAGTTGTGCTTGCCAGAATGACATTTGTTTTAGTAAGCAGGGATGGTGTTGTCTGATCTGACAAAGTATTGAGTTTGGCAGTGTTCAGAAGTGTGCTACTTTCTATCATAAAAACTATAGTTGATTAGACAAAGGAAACACATCTTCTGGAGGCATTTCACTATTTTAAAAACTAGTGCTGTGATCCTTTATGTACTTCATCTATTAGTGTTTGAGTTGCATTCTTTTTTATTTGTCTTTGTGCTCTTTCTTTTGAGATCAATCCAGCTGAATTACAAGGTTATCTTAAGACCTTCCATAGGTATAAGGTTTTTAATTTGTTGAGCAATTACGTTTTTAGACTTCTGTTTGTTTTTCTTGTTTTAAGTCATCAAACACTATGTGAAAGCCATTTATTCTGATCATAATTCCAAATAATACAGGTTTAGATAGGGTGGAAATTCTAAAAATCAGTTCTGACGCCGATGAGAATCTAGTTGCTTCAGATATTTTACTTCATTTTAACTAGTCATATTTGACAGTTGATGCATTTCTTGACAGGGGATTTACCTGGCCTCAGTCACAAAGTCAGGTTGTTTAACTGTTCATGATTTTGAGGAGCTCTATTGCCAGGGTAATATATCGTTAATCTTCTGGAATTCTTTATGGAGCAGATATTTTTATGTGAATTTTCTCAATAGAATGCGTACTATCTGTTGCACAAAATCTCGAAGATGCTAAGTATTTTATGTCTCTGATTCTGGTGGATATATGGATTTATAACATATTTTTCTATTGAAAGTACTGTGAATTTGGTTTACCCATATTGTTATTAGTTTCATTTGGTTACCCAGTTACTTGATAGTGCATTTTTATTTGGCTTTATCAACCCTTGCTCCTAGTTCAGAATGAAAATTTGGTGGTATTTTCTTTTTGTTTACTTTTTGGTATTTTCTTTTTGTTCCTAGTTCAGAACGAGAATTTGGTGGTATTTTCTTTTTGTTTACTTTTCTCAAATTCCTTCACATTTCAAGTTTTGTCTCAAAATTGCCTTCTTCTCCTTTCCCCAGTAAGCCTGAAGAATTTTATAGTAAAAGAAGATGAGACAAAGCAAGTTCTGCACATTTCTGCACATCAGCCGCTGGATGTTGTTAGATGGAACCTTGCAAATGAAGATGAGGTTTGAATGCCCTTCCACTTCCAACTTTATGCATTTCAAAACATGTTATATCTGTAAGTTGTTTATTAGCTTTGTAACTAAAAGACTGTATTGCATAGTTTTCATGGCCATGCTTGATGAAGGGAAAAGAAGTGAGTGCTTATCGGTTGAAGATAATTAGAGGTCATATCACATACCCTTTAGATATGAACTGAAAAATTAAGAGATGGAGCATAAGTATTCTCTTGCTACATCCTTTTTAAAATGATTCTAGCTGACTGTGCTTCAAGAGCAATAAATAATTTCACATGAAGCTCATAATGCAATATTTTTGGTTCTTTAATAATTTCACAAGAGTGACTTTTGCATTCTTCTCCTTAATTAAGACTGGAGGATGTAATTGCTTTCTGTTTTACACAAAAACACTTGTTACAGTATGTCTGCTTATTATGAACACTGCCCTTGCTGTCTTTATGGAAAGTATATCAGTAATTATTATTGCCACTTTCATTATTATTACTCTTATGTTAATTTAAGCACTAATTATTAACTGTCCCAGGATTTTGATATTGGGGCAAGGTCTGATATTGGTAGATATACTAAATCCAAGTCAAAGTCTATTTTTTTAAATTCTTTCTGGTATGCAGAAGTAAAAGTCATTCTTAATACTCAAATAAATGATTTTAGTTAATAGTTCAAGGGAAACAAACCAAATAGATAGAAAAGCATAAAGCAGCAAATTGCTTTCTACCATCAAATCAGCAATAATGCCGATTGTCACCCCATGAGAAAAACTCTTGTATATGCAGCACATGGCAGTAGAGACGCGAAAAAGTTTTCTTGTCTTAAAGTATCACTTTTCACTTTCTATTTGATAATAGTAATAAATCCTTGTATTTTTCAGAACTCTTTTTGGTTTACTAAAAAGAGGATATGTAGAATGTACACTAGCTACTAAAATTTCCAACTTGCTTGTTCTCTTCCATTCTTGCAATGGGGAGTGGAAGAAACAGCCTTGTAATTTCTGATTAGCTCATCCATTTCTCCAATTTGCATATTCAGTGAGTGTTTCTTATCTTAGGAAGGCAGTCGAGGACTTAGTACTTCAATGATTTGGTTCTGCCTGATGATCCCAAGGCATGTCTTAATTACGTTTTGGTTATTCAAATTGGTTGTGGACATCTAATGTCCGAGTTATAACAACATATTTTACTATATTGTGCTTTTCTACTGACTCATTAACCTTTTCATATCTTGTTGATTGGAAAGAAGGAATACCAGTTGAATTTTGTGACTTTAAGATTTAACAAATCATGTAGCTTAATGTTCTGCCGTAGAGTGCTACTCTTCCTAAAGGTCTCTCAATCTATTCATTTCATTTATTAGTGCTATCTGCCCACATCCTTAATCATATGTGCAAGAAAAATTTGAAATATTGGTGAGGTAAACCATGGAATTGAAGCATACATTTCTGGTTTTTCTTTCCTTTGTTGATTTCTTTAATATTGATAAATATTAGTTAGTTTTTTGGCTGCTTGGGAAATTCTGTAGTTGGCCAACAACATTCATATGCATGGCTTAAGAATTTTAAGTTTTACTCCGTTGCAAGTTGTAACATTAGGAATCTAAAATCCTTTTTCCTTTAAGTTCAGTCATGGTATTTCTTACTGGATAATGGTTCTGCTTGTTTCTTTATTGCTCTATTAATTTTCAATTTCTTTTTGTCAGTGGTTATATTCTGGGTTCAGAGTCAATGAAATGGTCTGTTCCTTTCTTGTTTAGGTTGCCTTGACATCTAGAAAAAGTGGAGAACTTCATATCTATGATATTGGATATATCTCCTCTGAACCTGTTGAAGTAAGTATTCCTTTCTGCATGTTGTTTAAATGCAACTTTTATGAAATATCAATCTTGAAGCACATATGAGTATTAGTATCAGGGAAAACTTTGTAATTGGAGTGTTAAGTAGTTTCATCATGCCAAAAGAACCCTGGCAGAGGTTTATACAAGTTCCAAAATAAATTTTCAAGTTGAAATGGGTGCTTATAGCATATGACAGTTTTCAATGGAATTTCTAAACTTCGTATGATTCCTTTCGACAGGATTTCCTTGTAACAGAGTGCTGTCCAGACAATTACTTTCACTTCCTGATGGTGACTTGATTGTTGTGTTCTGAATTGTATGGTCTGTCGTTGGTAAACATATGTCAGAAAACAGAATATGAGCACTATTTTTCCTTCATCATAAGGAGAAGAAATTTGTAGTGGAAGTTCATTCTTGTGAAAGTGAAATTGCATGGTGTAGTGTCTCATTCCTCTGAATGTACCATATTATTCTCTTTGGATGCGCTTTCCTCTATGTTCCTGCTTTCTCTTTGATGTTTTTCTTAATAATGTTCCTATTTTATCTAATTTTTCCAACCTTGAATCTAAATTCGTTCTGATTTTAGGTGCATGTTTAAGTGCGCCAACCTTTATCAATGTTCAAATGTGTACTAAAATCAAGTTAAATTGCAAAAGTTTGTACTCGCAAAACTCTAGAGGTATAAAGTTCTGGAACATTTTCTTAACTGCAGTTCATCTTCTTGGACCTTTAAGTTTTGTTTTCTTTAAAGATAAGACAAAGGTTTAGGCTATTATTTCTTGCCAGCTTACTTTTTTTGCATTTTATTTGTTATAATTGTCCTAAAGTAGAAGAATTCTATCTAACATTTTCCTTTTTGATACATGCATGTTGATGTGCCTACTCTGATTACTCTCTGGCTGGAATCTTATTTTATGATTTCTTTCTGCCACCCAAAGGAACCTTCTTCTTTCTAGCTTCATGCATGTATTACTGTTGGTGATTAAATTCTGCTGATGTTTTGTCTCATCAGGGTTTAAAATAGTAAGGCTAATTTATATGCAGCAGTGATTTACACATACACATTCTTTGATTATTAGGAGATGTTGCAACTATTTGTATGATAAATATTCAGATTACAATTTGGCTTTTGTGTTTCCAATTTTGCTCCATTATGTGGAATTTTGGAAATTACCAGGGACGAAATAGATGTTCCTTTCACTATTACTCAATAATATCATGTTACAACTACCATTTCAAATTCTATCAATCTTGGGCCATCTTTTGATTTTTCATCAAGATTAAGATTTTAAGCTTTCAAATTGTCCATTCTGAATCTGTTTCTTTCTATCACTCATGCAGGTATTGAAAAAGAGGCCTACAATTGGTGTTCATGGTTGTGTTGTACAGAAGGGTTTATCTGATGTAGCTTTTTCTTCAAATGATAAGTCAAGGTTGGTCAAAAGTGGAAACATTATTATTTTTGCCGTTGATTGATTGACAGTTCTAGTTTGAAAGTGGATGTAATTTCTAAAACTATGAGTTATAGAAGGCCATCAGCTGTAAGGTAAAAGATTTTATTTCTGTCATTTTTCCTTAAGTGACAGAAGTGTAGGGTTTTTGATGTATATATGCCTGATTTTTGCAGAAACTACTGTAACCATTCTAGTTAGGCAACTCTTTCCTCTCTGGATACTTTACATATGAATCAAGTAGGAAAATTCGAAGTTTCAGTGTGTTGGTTGACCTTTAATTGGAATTAAAACAGATGAGACAATTTTGAAACACCACAGGTCCTCTGGGAAAAAATATATATAATGTCATGCTAGAATGTTGAGTTCAGTTTGAAACAACTGAAGAGGGGAAAAAAGGCTCTTGTTGTTTAAATAATTGATGCTTGCATAAAAGACTCAAATCTTGTGGACCGAATATACAAGTATTTGTCAGAAGTCTGGATAGCTTATAGATGTGAAGCTTATAAAAGGTTGCACAATATGGAAATTGCAAGTATTAGGAATGAAGTGTTGCAGAAGCCATTAAAAAAAATGGTTCTCTGAGATGAAAAAGCATGTTGGTTGCTACATTTGCAGTAGCTACTCTTTCAGCAGTCCATGCTTTGAAGTTTGATATCAATCCATAAGACTTAAGAAGTGAGGTTGATATTGTGCTTTATGAAATTAGCATTTACTTATCAATAGATTACAAAATTAAAGTGTCAAACATTGTGATACTTGTATTACAACTTGCAATTTAACATATATTTCAAATATGTGATTGGTATTACATGTAATAAAATTCATCAAATTTACAAATTCAAACTTGAACTCAAGGTTAGCTTGTTACTCCTTGTGAGTTGAGCAAGCTTGATCTTGAACCTCCAGTTTCTCCATGACCCAAGCTTCAACAGAATTGATTTTTTAAGTGGTACTTGAGCTGAACTCAGAATTTTGACTAGCTGATGAGTAAGCCAAGGTTGACACGTGCAACACTTGGCTTGATTCATCTCATCTTTAGCCATGATGGTTTTCATAGGACCTTTTTCTATGGAGAATTTCTGTGTTTGAGAAACTATGCTTGATTTGTTGCAAAGATTCACTACTCATACTTCTGCAGAAATAATGTAATAACATTGCAAGGAATTTCTGCTCTTAAAATCTTCTGACTGTCAGACTTTGAGTTTATGCATATGCTTTAGTGGACTTGGGTACTAGGTGGCGGGGAGGAGGTCGGGTTGAGATAATCTCCTTGAATTACATGTTTCTTCCATATTCAATTCTGCTGTCTGTTTTTCTTCTTTGCTTGATGTTCAGACTATTTACATAATAAGCTGTCAGTACATTTACCTTTGCAATGTTGGTTGCATTGACCTTTGTCTGATTGGGAAAAACCTTCATATGCCATTTTAAGTATTCACTACCATTTCTTCATGAAGCCTTAACTTTATTCACTTTTTCATTTGATGCTTCCTTGAACAGGGTACTTGCTTCTGATATGCTTGGCATGGTTAATATTTGGGATAGAAGAATGAGTAATCTTCCGTGTCTTGATCTGACAACGAATTCTACCAGTGCAATTAATAGTATCAAGTTTAACATTGATAATCAGGTCATTTCTTGATCTTATTAACTAAGTTGTATGAAGGATAATAATCATATGTTTTTAACTGAGGCTTTCATAAAGAATGATATGCTTTATGATTGATCATATTACATTGAACCAGCAGGTTATTTTTGGGGCTAGCAAACATGGCGTTATCTATATGTGGGATCTACGTGGAGGAAGCTCATCAGCTGCTTTCCAAAATAACAAAATGGTTCTACTCTTACAACTTATGGTTTCTTTTTTAATCTTTTTCTTTTAGTGCTTACATGCTTACATGTCAGCACATGGTACAGTAGGTAACTGTGTTAAGCTTTCTGAATAGTATTTCCTGCAAAGAGTCAACAGCTTTATGTTCTTTTCTGTTCTCTAGACTCTACAAAGATCTTGATGTATCTTGGGTACAGTTTCCCTCATTGATCACAGCAATTTTACACTTCTTATAAAAATCAGTCCTAAATTGCACCTTATGCACTGATATACTTTTACTTTTGTAATTCAACTTCAATATAACGAGTGATGACTTTTTCTAATTGGTTACACACATCACACTTGCACATTTATGAGGACGATAAATTGTTACTTAATTCTTAATTGTTGCCATTGTCTTTCAGATCATTGTGCAAAGAGAACGCCATCTGCATTCATAATAGCCAGTATTATTATATAATTTCTCTAATGGATCATTTTCCTGATAGCAGGCATATTATTCTCCTATAACATCTGTGAAGCTAGCCTCTGAATTTGAGAAAATTGGATCTTTGAAGGTATGCATTCATCACATTTACATGCTCATGCTTTTTCCCTGAAGCAATTGTGCATGCATGGTGCTTCTAACCTGGTACATTGTGCAGAAAGAATTTGACTTTGGTCTGATTAGATGTAAGAATTGATTATGAAAGACAGACTGCCACGGTGTTTGAAGAATCCACATAATAGTATTTTTCATGAATCTTAACTTTCACCAAGGGGACATGTTGCTATATTTACTAAAAGTGTGAACGGTTGATTCCAGGGTGGATTAGAATTTGATGACAATGTTAATGGATGGAGGAGCTTTTTCTAACTCGGAAAAGTCTTTGACTTTCTCTGTTGAGTTCATGGTGATCAAATGTGAGTCTGTCCTTCAAATTGGTAGAAACAATAGTTGTTATTAAGTTGACTTTCTTCATGACATCGTAGTGAAGGAAAATAAGTAGTTTCAGAAAGGTCTTTGATGAACCATCAATCAGTGTGGCTGAACAATGTAAACATAAGATCTCCAGCTGACAAATAATAGCCTTATTCACTGAAATAAGAAAACCATAGGTGATGAAACAAAGACACCAGAAACAGGAATTGAGATGAAAGTCTAAATATGATGTTCTTCCATCAGGGTAAATGGATGCAAATATATTCTCTCCATCACACAAATGCAAAATTTTTTGGCATTGTTCCTGTAATCTTTTATGGCTATGAAGCAGTAATTTACGGATGAATATTGAAGAGCACTAAAAGTTGCCATTTAAGGAAATTCCCTAATTTGGGTTATGATGTTTGAAAAATAACAGGTTAGATGAGGACTTATGGTGCAAAGACTCGAATCATCCAGTGCTAGTAAATTGAAGTTGTGGCTGCAGCTATAACCTATAAATGTATAAAACTAAAAGTGTACTAGCAGCAACTTGAGACTAAACTGTCCAAGAAATTTTAGTTCCTATTTCAATATATATTGCTGTATTTCTTTCAAAAGCAGGATGTGTTATTTTGCTGTGGTGAAACTTTGCACCCAGTGGTAGATGCTATTACACATACAGCCTCACTTGCTTCGATGGATTTGTTTGAATCATAGAGATCTATAACTTGAATTATTAGGGTGAACGTAACAACTAAGAGGAATGTATGTATGTTAAATGACCACATCATGTAAAAGCTTAAGTTGGAAAGCAGTGTGATATATTCTTCTATAGCTAGCAGCATTGAGTGCTGGAGCGGAGAGATCTGGAGATCTTTGCTTAATCTTATACCATGGTGAGATCCACCTCTTTAAAGGCTTAGGTTGATTGAGAGGAGTACAATGTTCTTTATGCTTTTGTATACATCACACAGGCCACCAAATGACCAGCAACTTATGCATAAATTGTTTCTTCCTCCAACAAGTGGAACTCAAACTACCATTTAAGTTGTCCTTTATTTAAATGATCCACAGTTGAAGAGAACAGTGCCATCTGATGCAGTCAGTATTCCTTGATTCGGGTTTTGTCTGGTTAATGACATTGTTTCATCTTTCTCTTAACTTTCATTTACCATCTTCTCCTTTTAGTCATGTTCCTGTTCTAGTTTTTCTTTCTTCAGCTCATGGAAGAAATGGTTCAATTACCTTCGAGTATTTGGTTCCTTTCTTTATGCCAATTGATCATTTCTCAGTCTGCCTAGTTTGCTTAAGTACTTGGTTCCTTCATGGATTTTTTTTTGGCTAATGACTTAACTTTATTTCATAAATATCGTGCATACTAGAGGGCGAACCAGTTTGCCATTTAGCAGAAAGAATGAAATGTAGCAGTTTCTTTATTATGTGTTACTGATTTACAAGGTTATGGGCACATTCTGAAATGTTTCAAGAAGAAATATTTGATGTCATTGATGAATATGGAGATTGTTGGTCATGCTATTTGGATTAAATTAGCCGGCCTGAGTATTTTCTTGCTTGAAAATTAGATTCCTGCTCTTCTCAATGCAGGCTCAATCAAATATTGTTCCGAAGGAGATACTTTCAGTTGACCTCAATCCATCTTGCCCATATCAATTAGCATTTCATCTTGATGATGGCTGGTAGGTTGGACACTAACTGGATGTGCTTTTCTTTGCCCCTTCCATCTTCACTAAGTGCAAGACAAATTTTGCATGTTAAATCTTGGGAAATGATTCTTTTGTTTCTACTATAGTTTTAGATTTTCTTTTCTCGATTGGCATTTCATTGTTCTTGTTGTTATGTCATGGTATAACTGCTCTAACGCTACTAGTTGCAGAAAAAGTGGTCATGTTGCCAAAATTTGCCAAAAATGAAAATATTCTGGTCAGTGCACATTCTAAACCTAAGTTCTTTGTTGGTTAATCCAAGCTGAATCTTCCTATTGGGTAATTCTCACCTCCTTTAGAAAGATCATAACTTTTTGCTAGGAATTTGGTACAGTCTTGTACTTGATTTAACTCTATTAGCTCTACTGGAGGAGGTCTTCATATATGGCAATGTGATTTTCCCATGGTATTCTCATGGAGAAAGCAGTATTAGAATGCTGTAGTTAGCATTCAGGAATATAAACAGAGAAAAACATAAGAAGCAAGTAGAAAGTTCAGAAAAAGCTAGGTAGACCTATAAATAAGAAAGTGACGATTTGTTTGATTGATTACTGAGGAGTTGTGGAGTGGATCATTAATGATCATGTGATATAGGTAATGATAAGTGCTCCATCACCTTTAGCTCATCTTTTATCAGCTAACTATCATGCACTCAGAAACAAAATCAGGTTCCCCAATAGAAAATGAATTGACTCTTTTTATCTGGAATATAGTCATTGCTAGTGGCACTCCATACTTTACCACAGTAAGTTCCATGGATCTTTTTTTCTGATTGCATTTGTAAGGTGATTAGCACTTCTGTACCAGGTCATATATTCAATAAATAACAAAAATTGGCTCTACGCAGCAAAGTAGGTCATGCAATAGAATGTAGATATTAAATTTGTTGTTTTTCCTATTGCATTCACATCAATGTTCTAATTCATGATAAAGACATGCTTTTGTTTCTTGTTATTGCAATTTTTTGAACTTAGCTGCTTCTTTGTTTGACTGATCCTGTGGAAATTTTCTTTGGGCCTTAGAAACGGAAGCATTTCCAGCTTCTTTATTCCTTTTTTTTTTCAAAGCCAGATTTTCAGCTGAATTTGAGGATCAGGCAATGGTTCTGCAGTCGTTAAACTTAATTCATGTTTGTTTCTTTGCTCTTTGTTTTAAAATCCTTTAATGGAAGTCTGATGTAATTTCATTTTAAATGTAAAACTTTTGTCATTCAAGCTGTAACCTTTAGAAACTTAAACTAATTTTCAGCTATAATAATTCAACCTAGCATGAAGCCTTTTTTTATTTATTTTTTAATCTACCGGGACTTATTGTATTTGTCCAGCTGATTAATATGCGAATGTCATGGATATTTCTGGGAAGAAATTTTTATGCTATTGATGTCTTTGCAGTCTATTATATAGGAATTGGGGAAGCTAGTTATATAATTGCAATTATGTATGTTAAAACTGTCATGCAAGAATCTTCAAGGGTAGGAACTGCAACGTCAAAGCAAAAGATAAGACATTTGTGATAGAAAATAAAAACTATGCTTTGGATTATGAGTGATTCTGGCTGAATATAATTGTTCATGATATCAAATAGCAGTGTTTGCATCCTTTTTAGAGCTCCATCAGCGCACACAAGTAACAGCACAGTGTTTGTGTCCTTTTTTGCATCTTTTCTGTCTTTCAATTTCTAATATAGATGTCTCTAGCTGCCAACTTGCTTGCTTATGTTTTTTTATTTTCCCCACAGGTCAGGTGTTTTTGATGTCCATAATTTGCAAGTGACACATATTCATTGCCCTCCCCAGCCTGGTTGTGAGTATTAGAAGCAATTTTTAACTAAAATGCCTCAAGAAGAATGCATCACTGGATTCTTTTTTCTTTTCTTTTTTTCTGTTTGAATTTTTTCCGCTTTTTACTGTCTGCTTCTTGATGTGTTGGATTAGGGATGACTTCAATGACTTGGCCAATTTGTCATACATTAGAAAGCCATCCTGGTTACCTTTGTCCTCGGTGAGTTAAATAGTCTGCACCAAACTCTACTTCATTGCCTATTGACAATAATTGTTTTTAATCTTCAATCATATATTGTTGCTACAGACCCATAATACATGTGGTGCTTTTTATGCTTGATATTATTGTGCTAATAAAATACTCTACTGAAACCAAGATTTTTTTTTAAAACCTGGTTGGATTATAAGATGGCTGCATGGCTTGCTTATTGTCCATTGCACAGCCATTCGTAGATATGATTTCTTCGATTCTGGGATGCAGAATGTATAATTAAGGAAAAGTCATTCAAAACGTCCTCATTTTTACAAGATGACTTTTTCGTCCCTTGCTTTTAAAAGTGTAATTTTATGTCGTTTACAAATTCACATTGATTAAATTTGGTCCCTACCTAGGTTTTTGACTCGTTTTTGGCCAAAATCACCACGTGACTTGCATGTGATCATGTTTTAAGGGCAAAATTGTCAAATCAAATTTTTATATAATCTAATTCATAGTTCCTCACATTTCACAAAATGAATTTTTTCGTCCTAAAATTTTTATACAAAATGAATTGTTTCGTTCCTCACATTTCAAAAAATGAATTTTTTCATCTCACATTTTTCAAAATGAATTTTTTCATCTCTCATTGATCATGTGTATGAATAGATTTTTTTTATAAACCCGTATATGTCTATTTGATTTTATCTAAACAGTACGAATAACATGTAATTTTCTCTATTGGATTTCATCTAAACATGCTAATCGTAGTTATACACATGCTATTCAATAATATATATAGAGGTTTAAAACTAATAATTTTGTTTGAGACCCAATTATATATTTATATGATTTCACCATTTAACCTATTCAATATTTGTGACATTTCTGCTTTGGTAATAATTTATTTATGAATTGTATAATAATGTCATCTAATTAATTGGTCCTAAGTCGAATTCTATAATTGTGCTAACAAATTTCAGTTTAAATATGAAATTTTTACTCGATACTTTTAAGACCAACAGTTGAATCACTTGCCTTGTGATTGTCTTAATCTTAAAATTTGAAAGTCAATCACTTATTTCTTTTTCATACTTTTCTTTTGTTTATTTTTTCTGCAAATTTAATTCGATATAAATCGATAATAGTTAGGATTAAATGTCTTCTTTATTTTCAAATTTCGAGTAAAAGAAAATGAATATAAGTGAAAAACTAACAATTTTTTATCATGTATATATCTATTTGAATTCACCTGAACAGTACGAATAGAGATATATACTATTCGTACTGTCAGGTGAAATCAAAATAGATATATACATGGATTTAAAAAAAATTTATTCACACACATGATCAATAAAAGATGAAAAAATTCATTTTGAAAAATGTGAAGATGAAAAAATTCATTTTGTGAAATGTAAGGGACGAAAAAATTTATTTTATAAATGTGAGGGATTATGATCGAATTATATAAAATTTGATTTGACAATTTTACCTTTAAAATATGATCACGTGCAAGGCACGTGATGAATTCGATCAAAACTAGTCGGAAACCTAAGTAGGGATCAAATTTGACCAATGTGAATTTGTAAGAGACGTAAAATTACATTTTTAAAAGTGAGGGACGAAAAAAGTTGTTTTGCAAAATGTGAGGGACGTTTTGAACGATTTTCCCTATAATTAATTTTCCCTTGTTAACATCATAATTAAAATAAACTAAGCTCTTTGACCAATCTTAAGCGAGCCTGCTGTTTGTTTTTTTATGTGAGATGAATTGCTACTTTCATCTCTTGAAACTTAAGTCGTAATAAGCAGATGATCTTATGCCATCATTCTCATGTTTCCTCCAATTAGTATAGAAGAACAAAGAATGACTTTATCCCTTAAATGACTTTGTTGCAGATATATGCAGTGGGATCATCTTCCAGAACAGGACTTCATCTTTTAGATTTCTATCCACGCTGCACATCCCCCTGTCATGTGGACAAGTAAGATACTCCTATAAGTTGCTTTTTATTTGCTTTTTCATTTTTCTATCAAGAACTTTTTGCAGTTCATACCCCTGCAGATAATCTAGTTTGCTAGACTTTTGCAAGTTTGTAGAAGAATGTTGGCTTATATGGTTATTTTAGTTGTAATGCTTTTGTATCTGAAATGTGATCATGTTGCCTTGTAAAGGTGTCTAATATTCTGGTCATTCATTGAAATCTCTCTCTCTCCCCCTCCCTCTCTCTCCCTCTCTACTACAGACACGCACACACACACACATATATATATATATATATATATGTATATACATGTGTGTGTGTGTGTATGTGAGAGAGAGACTTAAAATCAACTCCTTTTGCTTCGACTTGGAACTGGAGTGGGGAGGCGAATGGCTAGAATAATTTTGGCAAAGAGGTTGGGCTAAGCTTATTTTGTTTCCCTCAGCGAGGATTCTCAGGACATGGTCGCAAATGGTCAGCATAAGCAAAATACATTTATTCCACTCTCCGAAGCTGTCACAGCATGTACTGCTCATCCGGTTCATGGTGCCATTGTGGCTGGAACAAAGGTTTGTAAATTTAAAAGATTAACAGTTCACCATGCCGGTTCTATATTTATTTGCCAATGCTTTCGTGATAAATTTTTGTTTGCTTTTGAATAGGGTATAATTGACATGAGTTATCTGCCTTCTTTTGGTGGTATTGTTCTGTAATTCAGTAACAAATTTTCTAGTTCACATTTATAATACTATTATTTATCTCCAATAAGTAAATTGAACAAGTACACAGTTTAATGGAAACCCAATTAGACCCAAGTGAGGGTACTGAAATTGGATTGATGGTGCCAACTCATGGAAAGCTAAGGTCTTCCCTTAAGCAAAATGCACTTCATTAGAACACTTTTTTTTTTTTTTTTTTTTAAATTGTAGTAAAAAGTCTGATTTGTTTGTGAATTGTGAGTAGACAAACCTCCAAACAGTTCTGAGTTTTGAAACCTGTGAGGTAGGGTCAACATATTTTTCTGCATTCGCAAAAGTTTAGCTTTTAATCTTTCTCAGTACTGCAGAGCTTCAGTCTTTGGACAGTATCAGTCAACTAAAAACTCATTAAAAAACTTCAAATTATATTCGCTCAAGAAAAAAAAGAAGAAGAATGAAAGTGTATGCCTTTTGAGTAGTTTGTAGAATGCTTAGCTCTATGCCTTTGGTTCTTGTCAGAAATCATCTTTACTGCTGCTTTCCCAAGGATTCATGCAATGCCAAGAGGGAGATGACTCTCCAATCTAATTATTGGGATCCAACAATGGAAGCCTATCATTTACGAGCCTGCTGAAACATCTAACTTAAGACGCTAGAGATTATTGCCTTTGTTGTTGCTGTGGTATGCATTAAAGGGTTAAATAAAATAGACCATTTACATTGCGCTCTTTGAAAGACAGTGGAGAAACAGCAACAGCAAGGCAATCAGCATTTTCAGCTCTTTTTAACTTGCACAGAGCTGATATCATACAGCACACCGAGTGCAGGTTTAAAAAGTTCTATGGCTTATGTTTAAGTATATAGGTTGCAAAGGTATTGTTTGTCTTTAACATTTGATCATATTTGTATGTAAAATAGAAAATGGTAGCTTTTTGTGGCTGCAGTTTGCTTCACTGATTGCCAATCCTTTTTTGGTAATTACTCATTACATCATTTTTAACTTATTAACTATAGTGGTAATGTGCATGCCTTAAATTTATGGTTCTTAGATACAGATCAGAAGAAGAGTGTTTGGAATCTTTTGCCGGTGGAAAGGTTGCAATTGCTGCTTCTCGGTGCAGCAGATTTTGTTTGTTATTTGTGCTTTTTGAACCATCATTTTACATTTGTGGCTCTCTAGTGCTTGAGATAAGGTAATTTTTTCCTTTTTTGTTTGTTTCATCCCTTCTGACTGAGGTTGATGGAGGGAATCCAAGAGGAAGAGGGAAGCAGTTTGCTTTTCTGCAGCTTGAGTCTTGCTTTCTTATGCAACTTAGGTAAGAGCATCAACCAAGATGGCAATAAGGAGGTGAATCCAATGAGTTTTCCCATCTTTTTTTTTTTTTTTGAATCCTGAAAGTGTTACTACTACACAAGAGAAATGAAATTTGAACTGCAAATTTTTTTATTATTCCACACCTTCAGTCTACTGCATCAAGATATCAATTTTACTAGTGAGTCTGATTTTCACTCGTGAAACAAGAAGATTCAAATGAACGATGCATTTATTTACCCTCTTGGAAGACTCAAATTCACATTGAAAGCCTTAAATTTGCTGCTAGTTATAAGACGATGACAAAGTAAAAGTTCAGGTGTCATAGTGATTTCAAAGTAATGTTGCAAAGAGGATAAATCTCACTCTCAAACCTAATGTATGGGTGAGGGCTTAGGTCTATTATCAAGCCATGATCTTCACCTCTAGTACATTGCAGTTTTTACTGGATATTTTTGTATGCTTATTGACATGTCAATATCTTTTGCTTCTTTCTCTGCAGACCTCTTTCTCATGACCACCTAATAACTAGCTACTTCCTTCACTGATACATGCCGTAAGGATTTTATCTGGTTTCTTTTGTTTTTATTTTTATCTGATTTTAAGCTATAGAATTAGCTAAAATTAATTGATTTTGGCAAAATCAAGTGATTTCTTTCCTTGATGCGCTTTTCCGAAAAAGTTGTTCATGTAGTCCTCAAATATTACTTCTTTATAGTGAGCCACTCCATCACGTTCCACCAGTTGAGGCAGTGGACCAATTTTCTCCGTCGGTCTTGGAACGGTAAAAATTGGTATGGACACTCTCGATTGTTTGTTTGTGGTACGAACTCTATGCTCAGCACTTTTGTACCTTCCATTGCTTAGGATCTGGGGAACAAAATAAAACGCCTAATAAGTGCTTGTATGATTGCATATGATCATATCAATATTTTTGTTCGATGTACAAGAGGCAGGAAGCATTCGATCTTGCACAATTTGGGGAGGAGGAGGTCTGATGTGGTAATCAACTTCTAAGGGTGTGCAGTGAAATTTTGATAAATTTACCGACGTACATTTGAATTTACCTAGTGTCATTGCTCCTGTTCAGCTTAAAATTGGTGCATGCACTCAATTATTTCCAAATCAAATTTGGTACCTTTATATTGGCTCGAAGATAGGAAGAACACTTGATAGTTGAATAGTTGACCTCATAAATCATCAAAAAGCTTATTATGTTCATATATATATATAAAAAAAAAAGGTTGTATCCCAACTACCATGCCGCCAACCCCAAGCTTGACGCTTTCATGGGAAGCAAAAGAAGAAAAGATATAGGGCCTGTTTGGAAGGTGAGTTTTTTGGGTGTTAGTATAAAACTTTACTGTAGATCACTGTAGAAGTTGTAGAAAAAACTTTTGTAAAAATTTGGGTGTTTGTAAGATGAAAATTTTTTTCATTTTCATTTTCTTTCTTTCTTTTTCTTTTTTTTTTCTTTTTTTCTTTTCCTTCCTCCCTTTCTTCCCCTTCTCCCTCCCCCTTCCCTCCCCTGATCCCTCTCCCGGTACCTCCATGGCAGCAACCAACAGGTGAGAATCAAATTTTTTTTTTTTTTTGCTTTTTTTCTCCTCTCCTCTCCTTCCCCACCACCCTTCCCTGCCATCCCTTCCTTCCCCGCCACCCCTTCCCTTCCCCTTCCCTCCCCAGCCACCCCTGCCACCCTCCCCTCCCCCTCTTTTTTTTTTCTTTCTTTTTTTTTTCTTTTCCTTCCTCCCTTTCTTCCCCTTCTCACTCCCCTGATCCCTCTCCCGGTACCTCCATGGCAGCAACCAACAGGTGAGAATCAAATTTTTTTTTTTTTTTTTGCTTTTTTCTCCTCTCCTCTCCTTCCCCCACCACCCTTCCCTGCCATCCCTTCCTTCCCCCGCCATCCCTTCCCTTCCCCTTCCCTCCCCAGCCACCCCGCCACCCTCTCCTCCCCCCTCCTCCCCTCCCTCGCCACCCTCCCCCTCCTTTAGCTGCGATCTGGTCTTGCGACCAGATCGCAGCCCCCCTCCCTCTCTTCCTTTGCGATCTGGTCACGCGACCAGATCCGTCAAAGGGGGAGGGGGATGGTGGCGGGGGAGGCAGAGGGAAAGAGGGAGGGGGAGAGAGACAGAAAAAAAAAAAAGGAAAGAGCATCAGAGACCAGTTTGGGCAAAGGGAAACGGGGAGGGGGAGGGTGGCGGAGGAGGCAGAGTCGAAGAGAGGAGGGAGGAGGGTGAGAAAAAAAAAAAAAAAAAAAAGAGGACCGCCGGAACTGGTTGCCGGAATAGTGACCGGCGCCGGAAGTGGTGGTGGAGATGGTCGCCGGTGCCGGAGGATGTGGTGGGTTGGGTGGGGGAGGAAAAGAAGAAAAGTTGAAGGGAAAATTTTTTGTATATTTTTAAAGTGTGTAGGTTAAAAACTTTGATAAGTTTTTTGGGTTCCTGTAGCAAAAGTTGTTAAAAAACTAGTTTTATACAAACTTGGTAAAAAACCAAGCTTCCAAACAGGGCCATAGATTCTTAAAAGTTCCTACAAGCATAGTTATTAAATCTGGTCTCGTCCAAAGGTTGAACTGTTTGGTTTGGTGGTTGGTCATTTGGTTGGGTTGAGCCACTGGATAAGAAATTGATCCAATGAAATTTGGCGAAACTTGTTTGACACACCAGTTCAATCAGGAATTTTTTGGTTGATTCATTTTTTTTTAAAACAATTCTAGGTCTTTGTTTTAACCAAAATGTATATATAGTTTTGACAAGATTTGGACATTGGATCTCTTTTTAAATGTGTATAAGAGTTTACCATTTGCTTAGGTTTTATTTTAATAACTAAATGTTCCTTTAAATAAATTGATGAAATTAGTCCTTTTAACTTTCAAACTAAAAATGTTATCATTATGTTACAATATTTGAGTACTTAGAAATTTTTTTTAAATAAATTGATAAAAAAGTATTGCTATATCCTTGAAGATAAGTCAAATAATTTTGTTTTATGTTTGGCTACATAATTTATTTGTAATAAGTACGATAAAATGAAATTAAGTCTTCTATTCATGTTTGTATGGTTATTATATATCCAAAAACACTTTATTATACATTTTGTGTATACTAAAATTACTATTTTGTATTATAAATATTAGTATCTATCAGTTGAACAAATGATTCATTGACTCGATCTTTTTGCGAGTTATTTGTCGAGTCGGATTTAATAACTATGCTTACGAGAAGTAACATATACATTGACTTTTTTCAGAATATGTGTATGGCGCTATGTCTCTTAAAAAAGCAAATTTATCCTGTGCTAATTGGAATAGTAAAAGATGTTAAGAATGGAGCTCTAACCTGTAATGCATCTCCAACATTGATAACTAAAGCACCGGGGCACGGTGGAATCTCCAACCAGTCTTCTTTTTGACCTTCAACAGTATCGTTTTCTACTTTTACATGCAAGCCTCCAATACCATCTTGTAATAACACAGTAAAAGTACCCATATCAGAATGGCGCCCCACACCAACAGTCAGTTCTGGATTTGGGCATGCAGGGTAAAAGTTCATGTTGACCATCTTTAAGCCTAAGAGTGATTCCACTCTTGAATCATCCACTTCCACTCCAAGATATCCGAATAATATTTCCAGTAGCCTTCTCACCATCTTTATTGAGGATTTCATGTAGTCAAGTGCCATTTCCTGATCAAAAGTAAAAGAAGAAAATTTGAGAAAACATTAGTGAGTTTATGAATCATCATTCTTAGATATGGTGAGCGAGTTCCACTTGACACCAAAGTATGGCAGGGGTTTTAAAGGTTTGAAATTGTTTAAAACTAGAAGTGAATGATAGTGCTTGTAAAATCTCCTGCATGTTAGTCCATGATGACAAATGGGATGTTTAAAGAAATTCTAATTATGTAGTGAAGTTTCTTACTTGCAATCTTTAGGCCAATGCTCAAGAGCCTCTGAGTCATTAGTGTAAACCATGCTGACATAATCTTTCCATTCCAAAGCCTTTTCTTTATCAGGTGCAAAGCTTGTTCCATACTTCACAAGAGGGCTGGGACTAATTCCCTTCAAAAAAACAGCCTTGACTCTGGAGGTTGGGCAAAAAACTGATGTGCCGCATCTTTCAGTGAGTCCAAGAGATCCACAGGCACACCATGGTTAACAACTTGGAAGAAGCCAAGAGTTTCAGAAGCTCTAACAATGGCCTCCACCACTTGGTCGTGGTCAGGACCATCCAGCTTTGATAAATCGATAGGCGAAGAATTCTCATAGGACCCTACAACAAGCTTTCCTATTCGCTCAAATGATGGTTGGACGTATCTGTCAGGTACCTTTTGTATTCCTGAATCCACCAGGCCTTTAACCCCATTGCCCTTTTTTACGACAAAATCAAACAATGAGTTGCTAGTATCAAAACTTGGAGCCATGTTTTCTTTGAGAAAAATGTTGAGTGTTTGTTAAATGCTAAGCACCCAAGACAGATCTATCAGTGTTGCAAGTGGCCTCCAATGGGTTCCAATAAATAAGCAGAATGATGGATTGGCTTTTTAAGCACAAAACTACATTCTTCCATGGAAAATCATACTTCAGTTAATCCATCAGTTCCTTAAGTCTGAACAGGTCCAGTCTACCACGCGTAGAAGAAGAAATCATCATCATCAAAGTTGGCAGATTGCCAACATTAGCTATAAATGAATGTTCCTCATTCACATGAACTAAAGTTGTTGAAAATGCACCAAGGTAAATCAGTTTTTTTTTTTTTTTTTTGAAATTTTGAAAGCATGATTAACGAGTTTAGAAAGTCAAAAGATTGTGCTGTTTGGCATTAGTTTTACGGCATGTATCCAATATGATAGTCAAAAGATTATGCACTAAGGAAGACTAAACACAAGAATTAGAAGTCATCAATTTTTGGATTGACAAAATTAGGAGTCAGGTTTTACCAATGTAGAAAAAGAGGCCGAGTCAATTTGGGGCCACATAAAGATTTTATGAAGATATATCTGTAGCTTTAGGTGGGGAAAATTGTGAAAAGAGCATATGTTTTGCTTGATTATTCCATGAAGAAGGCAAAGTTTTAAATTTTAGGGCATTTGTATAAACAATACTTCACTTGTATACATTTATCAGGATAAATTCTGCAAAATTAATTCAGTATTCGGAATCTATAAATTCTTGTAGCTTCTGATTTCGTTTTTTTTTTTTTTTTAGCTTTATTACGGTCAAAAGCTGAAAGAAAAAACAGTTGAAAAAATCACAAAAAAGATTTCCTAAAATAAAAAACTAAAAGTATATCCAAAATAACAATTGAGAACAGGTCCAATGGATTCAAGAAATTCTTGCTAATAACCACTCAACTGCATAGAACTCGAAACTAAAAGCCGTCTAGGCAACCTTAGGGAAAAGACCATATATAGTATGAAGAACCATAATTGAATTGAATTGAAATTCTATAGAAGGGTACGTTTGGTTCTACAGAATTAGAATTGAATTAGAATTGAAATTCTATAGAATTGGAATTCTATGAATTGGAATTCCAAGTCATTTCAATTCTTTCGTTTGGGAAATGCATAGAATTGATACGGAATTTATTTGAAATTCCAAATTCTTTGTTTGTATGAGAGAAGAATTCATTAGGAATTAGAATTGTTTCCAACTAATATTTCCTTACATAAAAAATTTCTTTTTTTTACTATATAATAATTTTTTAACATTTAGCTAATTGTTACTAAAGCTTTAAGGAAAAAACCAATTAGTACCTTTAATAATTTATTTTTTCTTGCATTTAACTAATTGTTAATAAAGCTTTAAAAGAAAAAAAATTAGTTCCTTTTTGCAAAAATAAAAAATTCTTTTTTAAAAAAAAATTAAATTATATTAAATAAAAAATAATTGTATATTCTAACTTAAAAAGTAGTTAATATTTATCGAGTTAAAACCTTGATACGTTTTTAAAGTTAAGAACTTTAAATTTTAGAAAATCAAAAGCCTACTCTATGATATGAATTGGAGGAAAGTCATAACTTGTACCTATTATAAATATTTGAATTTTGTATCTTACAAGAAATTTCAATATAGGAATACAAGAAATAGAGGAATACGCAAACAAAGTGTTTTTAGCCAAAAAAAAAAAAGAGAAAGAAAAACACAATTATACATTGCTACTATTTTTCAATAAATGACCATTCTAATATGAAATTAAGTTCGAATAAATTCCTATCAAATTTCAACTTCCATGATGGCCTTGTCTAATTTGATAGTCAATAAACATTGCTCGTGCTAAAGCATTCCTAAATTGTGTCCACTCGCTAGTTGGTTGTACTGTTCGAATTCGATTCTCGTTAACAGCATTTACACCACCATCATTATTTGGACCATCATCTTCCATTCCATTTTCCTCATCTTCATCTTCCATTTCATCTTCATCATCAACCTCATGTTGTACTCTTCGCATCTCAGCACCAACTTCATCCAAGTAAGGGTCATTTGGTTGTTCTACTCGAATAAGGTTATGAAGGATGGCACATGCATTAATTATCATGACATGAGTCTTAACATCAAAAAAAGATGCATCTCTCAAAATGGCCCACCGCTTCTTGAACAAACCAAATGTCCTTTCAATCACATTTCGAGCAATTGAATGTCGAAGGTTGAATAACTCTTTAAAATTTTGAGGCTTGCTCCCACTAGCAGACCACTCGCTAAGATGATATCTAACTCCCCTATATGGAGCTAAGAAACCGGAGCTATTTGCATAACCCGCATCAACAAGAAAGTACTTGCCTGTAATGTTAGACAACAAATTATTACTCATTTATAGTTAAAAGAAAAAAAAACACTTGATATCTAATTGTCACATACCCTTGGGAACAATTAATGGATCTGATCTAACTAACGCATCCCGTAGAACTCTACCATCTGCTGCAGAACCTTCCCATCCAGGCAATACATATGTAAATCTCATGTCACGGGAGCATACACCTAAAACATTTGTTGCTATCTCATTCTTCCTATTCCTATATCTTCCTTGATCTCTAAGAAGAACATGTACTTTAACATAAGTACCGTCTAACGCTCCAAGACAATCCTGTATTATAAACAAAATATCATAAGTTGATGAATCTTGTAAATATTATCTTCATTAATAAATATCAAAAAATATTGATTACCTGAAACCATTCCCACTTTTCATGCTCGTAACCTTCCATTTCCGATTCAGGCTGGATAAGATAGTGTCTCCCCAATTTTATGATAGCACGTAGAACTATATTAAAGTATCGACTAACTGTCTCACCTGATCTTATGAAATTAAAATTGACAGTGCGATTCTTAAAATTATGAGCAAGAACATAGAGAAACATTGCAACTGCCTCTTCAACAGTAATATTTCTAGTATCCGTCAACCCACAATGCTCTCTTAAATTTGTACATAAAACAGTAAAACAATGTTTATTGAGTCTAGGTTGCTCTACACAAACTCTATTGTTTCCATAGTAAAGACGCCTTAGATATATTTCACGTGCTACTTTAAAGTCCAAGTAAGGCTCCTTTACTATATGTTTCTCATGCCACCAAACTACTAATGTAGCTATTGTTACCATATAATTTGCATCTACCACTTTTCTCTTTTTTGCTTTTTGCTCGTCTCCTTCTTTATCCATGTCAATATCCAAATTCTGCAATTCAAAATCATGACAACAATAAGAAAAGGTAAGTCAAAAGACCAAATCATGCCAAACTAGCTATTAATTCAAAAGACCAAATTAGCTATTGGAAAACTCTCAAACAAAAATTACAGCTATACCTATCACTGCAAATATCCCAAATCATGCCAAGTTCCATGCAAAATAATGCATAAGAAAAGGATGTCCGTACTTGAATTTTTAATCATATGCTTTAATAAGCTCTACTGCACTATGGTAAACAGAGATTAAAAGTAGGGATTGGATTATATATACCAAGCAGAAGAAAAAGGCTGAAAATTAGGCCCTGCTCGTTGATCAAGACGTCAATGAGTTGGTCCCATTAGTCAAAGTTTATCCACTACTCAATAATACGTATTAACTTGATGGAGCTTTACTAGATCCCTCCACAAAACTAGATATATCTTCCAGAAAACCTTGAGGAAACTCAAGTCTTTTCTCTTTGGAAGGTATCAAAAGCTGCCTAAAGCCCCTTTTGTCAGATGACCAATTCACACACAGTCAAGTACTTGCTAAATAGAATAATATCTGTCATCCATTCTTTAGTGAGTGTGCAGACTTGTGGAAGATAAAAACCAACAGAATACAGGAAGAGCACTTATACAAAATCTCCTTAACTTTGAAAAAGAATGCAAAGGTTCATGTAACTCAAGGACAAGTCAGGGCATCAACACAGGCAGCTATGTTAATCTCAATATCTAAATGCTACTTGCTCTACTTGGGCTTCCAGCAATCAGCTCAACTTCTTCTACAAAACAACTTCAACTGGAGATTACCAAAAAATCAATTACCAATGCACATTTACCATCCAATTTGTTTCCTTGGTTCATTTGGTCAATAAAACAGGTGCCCATTACACGATCCATTTCAGGAGTCCAAGTGAAATACCCTTTGCCTTTCCCTTTTGACTGAGATGTTGCTTCAGATGCCATATCTGAGGCAGATATGCACTAGAAAAACATCACAATGTCAGGTTCTTAAGAACATATTTAATAGCTACTGCATTATAGAACTAAAAATGAAAGGCAAATATGCACCTAGTCATGAAAGGTAATCGATCTCTAAACTTAAAAACGTGTTGGGCTGGACATTGATTTCATATCATTGAAGAGTAAATAAAGGGAAACGTCCATCAAAGGTAAACAGAATTCCTGTATTTTAAGTTCTATGACTATGGCTGGACATTCCAATTCTTTGCTTATGCTGTCTTCAAACAAAACTAGAAAAAAATGATTTGCCTTAAATGTCGAATGAACTTTCACTAAGAGAGGCATCAAGATTCAGAAGTGATATTTATGCCTCAAAGATACCAATTATTTTGTAGAGAGCATGTTACTCTCTTTAATGAGTAAGGAGAATTCTACACTTAAAAAAGCCAAAACTCAAACCATATGAGAAGGGAGTTATAAAAGATTTGAGTACAACAACCCCCAAAAACAGCAATAACAAAATACAAAATGAAAAAAATACAGATCAACAGGCAGACCAAAATGAAATGGACAATCGCAGTAGTAAATATAGACACCTTTTAAAAGAGTAAATGAGACTGGTGTTACAGTTGTCTAGGAGATGCAGATTCAGCCATTTTCAACTTGTACGGAATGACCAAAAGGGTATTTTTCACTTCTCACTGATGCAAGAGGGCCAGCCCATACAGTCCGCACTCGGACAGGATGAGGGGTAAATCATACAGTACTAGCAATTAAATCAAAGACGGCTCAAATTAATAAATAAAACTGACACCTGGAGAGTATTAGGGCCACATTTCGCTAAGTTTTTACTATTGCTGCCATTACTGTAGTTATAAAACATGAAGAAGGGGCATGCAAATTATAATTGTCATTAGTTTGCGACAAATGATGTGGGGGGTGCAAGGAGGACAGCCCTCTTGATAATGAGGTGAATTGTTTAAATTGTTTTCCTGCTTCTATATCATCACAAAGCAGTATGAAAGTTGGAGATACCTCTGCTGTTGGGGTCCGCTCCAAAATCCAGAAGCAGTAGCACACAATTCTCGTTTCCTTTTGATGCAGCTATATGCTGAGTACAAAAAAAGGATGTAGAATGAACAAAAAGACAGAATTGCATTCTAGAAATAATTTTTAAGGAGTCAAATGAGAGTAGTATATATATACACACCAGGGCAGTTCTCCCATCGTTGTCAGATTCATTTGGATCTAGACCAAATGAGTGGCCAGAGAAACGGAAGGCAGGGGGGAGACGGTGGTGGGAAAGGGTTGCAGGTGGAAGCGATGGTGGAGAGCAGAGCACCTGCGACTGAGGAAAATGGTGAGTTAGATAGAAAGAGAGGGGTGCCGATACCCTTGACCCGATTTTAATTTTTGATCCATATTAGATCCGCGTTTGGACCCGTTTAATTGTGGAATTGGAATTAGAATTCTTTTGATCTGGTAAAGAATTCAATTCATGGAATTGGAACCTCTTGGAATTAGAATTCAATGCTAATTCTATGGAAAAGGCAGCATCCAAACACAAGAATTAGAATTGGGGTTCCAATTCCAATTCTAAACCCCAATTCTATGGGGTACCAAACATACCCTCAGAATTGATGTAGTTACATCCGTCTTGAACTTCTTTAGAATATCACCAACATATTTCTTTTGAAAAATAAAAGTCTCACTGGCAGACTAAAATACTTCAGCTCCCAAGAAATATGACATAAGCCTCATGTTTGTCATCTCAAATTGTTTAATCACGGCCTCCCTAAACCCTACAATCATCTCCTAATAATTTCTTGTAAAAATCAAATCACCTACATAGAAGCACACAATAAATATATCATCATATGTGGTAGATTTAATATCTAAAGTGTGCTGATAGGACACCTTAGAGAATCATGAGCAGGAAAATAGAGTCAATTCTCATACTCCATGCCCTCGAAACTTGTTTCAATCCATATAAAACTCTTTTCAACTTGTACACTGTATTTTCCTAACCTTTAATGACAAAATCTGCAGGCTACTCCAAGTACACTTCCTAGAAAAACTGACTTAACATTCATTTGATAAATTCTCTACTTGTTTTGAATAGTAAGAGAAATTGTTAGACAAAAAGTGTCAAACCTAGCAACAAGTGCAAACACTTCAAAGTAGTCAATTCTGAGTTTCTCCTCGTACCCCTTCACCATAGTTTCAACTTATATCTATCAACTTCTCCATTGCATTTAAATTTTATCTTGTAGATTCACTTCACTCTAATGGCTTTTTTACCATTTAGAAGAGAAGTAGGCTCCCAAGTATCATTCTTTTCATTGGCATTTTTTTTTTCATTCGTTGCTTTCACCCAACAATCATCATGAGCTACCTTCTCACACAACACTATTGGGTCATAATCTATCTATAAATAAAGTAAAATTAACAATATTTTCTTCAAAAAGAGCATCATCTGGTATATTTACATAATCTTACAAAAGAGCTAGTATCTGTTATTGACACTGGACATCTTGCTAACTCAACCTAACAAAAGAGCTTGTATTTGTTATTGACACTATGGACATCTTGTTAACTCAACCTATGGACCCTGAACAACTGGTAGTTGCTAAAAGTTATGATTAGCCACCTCTTCTTGACAATTTAAAGCCACTTCTACTATCTTGAGATCTTCTGTAGACCAGTCTCAAACAACTCTTTTGTTAAAGATACAATCTCTACTCAATATCACTTTTTCTATCACAGGATTATATAGTTTTATAAGCCCAAAAAATCTCATTGTGTCCAATAAAACACACTTCTCTCCCTTATCATCAAGCCTTTTCCTCAATTGATTAGGAATATAAGAGTAGGCAATATGGCTAAATATTCTAAAATGGCCAACAAATAGCCTTTTACCACTCTAAATCTCTTTAATGGTTTTATCAAGAACATTTTGGTAGAACATTTGTTCAACAGATATACAATACAAGGCCAACACAAGTTGGCTTAGTCAGTAAAGACAGGACTCCTTCTCACAAAAGGTCGTGTATTTGAATCCCATTACCGATGTGAGAACTGTATTAGCAGACAATCTGCAAGAACCTTTGTAAGTATCCTATGGTCCTGGAAACATATCTTGACCCATGGTGATGACAGGAGTTGAAACCACCCAAACTTTTTTTTTTACAAAAAAAAGATATACAGTATAAGTCACAACCTCTGCTTTGGCATTTTTTTAGTTTCAATGTATATCTTACCATATTCATAACTGTCATATTTTTTCTCTCCACCACTTCATTTTGTTTATTGTACTTAGTAGTCAACCAGTCAACTGATGTTGTATATCATTTTTTAAGAAAAGCACCACAAAATAAATATTTCTGACCTATATCTATTCTCAAAATTTTAATCTGGCAGACACTTTGCTTCTCAACAAAAGTTTAAAAATCTTAGAAGTCTCGCATGCATCAGATTTTTTTCTTCAAAAAAAAAAAAAAACTAAGCTTTCCGGCTAAAATCATCAATAAATGTAATAAAATATCTGCGGTCACCATTAGAAGGAACCTCTACAATGTAAAAATCTGAATGAATAATCTCCAATGGTCTTCAGCCTCAAGATTTACCAATCTGGGAAAAAAATTCTTGGGTTGCTTTCCCAAAGTTAACACATATATTACAAATTCTATTAGGAATTCTTATATTAGGCAACTCACCAACCATTCCTCCACCAGACTAAAATCTCAAACTATCAAATTTAAATGATCAAGCCGTATATGCCATAACTAATTTCTATCATCTAATCACTGTACTTAGATAGAAAAAATCATCACTATTCAAATTTAATGGAAATAAATAATTTGGAGTCATTGACACATTTACAATCATTCCACTCTTTTTCATCATAAATAGTGTGAGTATTATTCCTGATATGAATATTATATTTCTTCTCTAACAATTGACCCATGGTCAATAAATTATAATGTAACCCAAGAACATAGGAAATATCATAAACAAAATAAGTAGATCCATTTCTCAAGCTAATAGGGATTTTTTTTCCTTATCAAATACTAGTAAAATATTGTTGTTTCAAACTTAACTTCATCATAGATAGATTCATGATGCTCAATAAATAATTTTTTTCATACCAAACATATGGTTACTGCAAATGCTGTTCAAATATCAATTGTTTTTATCAAGAACATCTATAGCATCATAGGCTAATAGTAAAGTCTCCAAATTATAATTTTTATCCTGAACCTTGAACCTGATTATCAGTAATATTAGCCTAAAAATTCCTATCTATATTTTTTTAGGATCTACATCCACACTTTCTGTGGCCAAATTTTCGATAATTATAATGTTGAATCCTCTGTCCAAATTATTTTGATATTATTTCTTATGCCAAAACTACTCTTCTTTTATCAAAACCACCTCTAAAATTAAAATTTTTTATCTCTACTGCATCTAGAATTTAATGTACCTCTTCTCCCTCTATTGTTATACCACGACTACCTTTATTGTTGTAACCTAGGTTTCTCTGACAAGATTTATCTTACTCCCTAATTTCATTATCACCTTTCAAATTCAATTGTGTCTACAACGCCCTTTCTACCATATCTTTCTTTGAGTATCTTCCAATTTTATATTAAATCTTTGGTCATGTAGAATAAGTGACATGTACAAATTCTCAATCCTCAAATTTGCGAAACCTTTTGTCTTCTGGATTACGACTACCACATGATCAAATTTCACGGATAGATGTTAAAAACTTTCGCAACAAATCATTTGACAAAGAGTTCATACTAATTGAGTTCCATCTTGTTTTTAATTTGTGATAAACGAGAAAAATATGACTAAATAGATTTAGATTTCTCCATCGTAACAAGTTCAAATTTTCTTTTCTATATCATCCAATTATTTTATTGAACCCTATCAATCCTTTTCTATGTCTTCAGAAGAATATTCCTGATAAGTGACTAATTTACGTTATATTTAAATGATATTTTATGTTATTTTTAGTCACTTTTGCAATATTATAGGAAGAAAATGGATTATTTTGACTATAATTATTGTAAAATGCTCTTAAGTGATTAAATGAGGTTTTTGTCATTTTTTACTTGTATTTTATCCATAATTAGTATAGAAGTTGGAAATATACTTCATTTGGATGAAAAGGAAAGTTGACAGCTTTGACAATTCCAAACCTCCTTTGTCGTGTTAGTTGTATTTTTCAAAGACTGACACATCAGCTGCCTAATGAATATGCAACAATGCTAAACCATCTCTCATCTTGTTATTTTCACTAACATCCTGACCGTGCGGTACTTCTTATGAGTATGTGCTACTTCAATAAGTTGATGTAACCCACATGCATTGAGATGAGCTTTCGTCTGTTTTTTGTCAAAAATTGAACTCTACATTCATTTTGAATTTTTGGACCGAGCAAATATTACGAGTTGCAATACCTTCAATATTATGAGCTGTATCACTTTAATAGACCCAATCAATCACAAACACAAATCAGGAAATCACAGGAAATCGATAAAGAGGCAAAGGGAAAAAAGCTTTTGTGTTACTCAAACGAAGCTACGACTACACTTACTTTAACACGTACAAACGAAACAGAGGCGACTGCTCTTTCTAGCCCTGTGCGGCTCATAGCACACAACGGAGTATACATCGAACCACTACTGACTACTACTAGTACTCATAATAAGAGAACCAATCTCATGTGACCACCCTTAAAACACAATCATGCAACATATTTAGTCAACCAATTAAACAATCATGCAAAGACATGTTTCCACTAACTCAACTGACTAATTAACATGAACCTGGATTAATTTCTTGCATTTTTCACGAAATCTCTTAAAATATGTATATGTGAATGGGCACAATAATATTAACTTGGGGTGAAATGGGACCTTATTATTTGCATACTAATACATTTCGACGTAATAATTTTGAGGCAATAAACTTCTGATTGACTCCATCCATAATTGTTCATATTAGCAAAAAGAAATAAACGGAAAATGATAATAGAATCCTACCGTCATTGTACTTCGGAGGTCATTGAATGTTTAGAAGATGGGTTAATTGCGTCTTTTACATCCCTCAACTATGCACGCTTAGCACTTTGCAGCCTAAACTATCAATTTCTGCACTTTGCTATCTTGAATTTCCAATTTTTTGTAGTTCAATTCAATCACCTAATCTCACGCAAGAATTTCTTGATTTGCTCTGCCTTTCATTTGTGAAAAGACCCCTTGCACCCTTGCACCCTTACTATTTGAATAGTCCAAATTGCCCTTCAATATGATGCTGAATGCTTTGTCTCTAATTCCTCTAGCCTTAGAGAAATTTCGATAGGGATTCACAAACGAGAAGTGAGAGGTTCTCTATTTATTTATTTTGTTTCCAGAAAGATGAAAGAATTGAAGAATCGAAAGGGTTATATTTGTCATCTAATCGTCTCAAATTGCCAAAACTCATTGATCATACTATAGGTGCCAAAATTTGGAAGTTCAATTTAGCATGATGCAAGAATTGATAATTTGGGAGGGGAGGGGGGCAATATGCCAAGCGTGTATAGTTAAAGGGTGCAAAATGGAAATAACCCTTAGAAGATTAAAAGATATATTCTAAAAAAGAATTCCATACTAAACACATATGACTTAAATGAAAAAATAAATTAAAAAATAGTCTACCTTCTTTATTTTAGAGATTCTCATATTTATATTTATTATTTAGAAATATTGTGAAACAAACAAAAAGTAGTTCACTTTCTTAATTTTAGGAATTCTCATATTTATTTCGATGGTTGATAAATGTCATGATTTTCAATCACTATTTGTACGTAGACTCATCTTCCAGTCCGATCACTTTAATATAATCAATATGCCTTCCTAATCAGTTTTTGGAGCATCCCCACCACCATACCTGGCGACTTCAAAGACTTGGGCATACTTTTCCTGGTCTGGTATTATTGTATCGAGAGTTGGAAAGCCATTTTCCGGCCAAATTTTTTTTGTATTTTTTAATTATTCTTTTACCTTACATATATTAAATTAATACACTATATTTTTCTATAAAAACTCCAGAAAAAGGGTAATTCAAACAAGTCCTAAGAGCAGTAAAAGTTGGAGCAGCGAGAGCTTTGCACCGTATCGATTTGATGATTATTATTTCTCTTTATGTGCGGATGCAGTGCACACTC